TTAAGAAAATTTTCTAATTTTTTCCAGATGATCAATAAATCTTAATGCAACTATATATTCATTATGGAAAACATTTATTAAATCAATTACAACTGCATTCAAAGATTTCGATCAAGCTGCAACAAACATATTAATTTATAATTATAATTAAGATGTTTCCTTATAAGGAAATGGCTAATATTACCTTTACCTTTGCCATTGCTAATGGAGGCAGATGATCTTCATTTCTGTGGCCATGTGCCAAACTAAACCACATAAATGTCTGTATCAAACAATTACTTTTACATTATACGTTACTGGAAATACCACCTGTGCAAGACAGTGAATGCTTTTCATTCAGCACCTCTCGAAATACTGCCCTACTTTTTAAGAAAATCAATATATAATTTTTTTTTTAAGTAGGTAATCATTTCTGGCTTGCTCTACAATAAACACAAGATCTTGGTACTCTCAATTCTTTACATTATACAATCAATAAAATACACAGCCTAAATCCGTCAATATTTCACTCAGGGAAATTCGATATTCCTCACAAGCTACACTTTACACAATGCAATCAGGAGACTGCTGACAAATGTCCGGCACTGCATTCCTCTGGCAACAACAATAAATGCAGCTGCAGCGTAAGTTCAATTCCTGTTGCCACTTTGGTGTAATTCATTACTTTTCCTGTGAGAAAACCATTCCTACGTTTCACATTTACTTTCAGGTAAATGATTTGATTGAATCTGTCAGAACAAATCTTTGATATCTAGCAGCAAGGTAAAAAAAAAACATAGACTGGGTGAAATACAGAATAGAATGTTTGAAATAAAGAATAGACTATGTGAAATACAGAATAGACTGGGTGAAATAAAGAATAGACTGGGTGAAATAAAGAATAGATTATGTGAAATATAGAATAGACTGGGTGAAATATAGAATAGACTGGGTGAAATAAAGAATAGACTGGGTGAAATATGGAATAGACTGGGTGAAATATAGAATAGACTGTTTGAAATATAGAATAGACTGGGTGAAATAAAGAATAGATTATGTGAAATATAGAATAGACTGGGTGAAATATAGAATAGACTGGGTGAAATAAAGAATAGACTATGTGAAATACAGAATAGACTGGGTGAAATAAAGAATAGACTTGAAATAAAGAATAGATTATGTGAAATATAGAATAGACTGGGTGAAATATAGAATAGACTGGGTGAAATAAAGAATAGACTGGGTGAAATATGGAAAGACTAAAGAATAGACTGGGAATATAGAATAGACTGGGTGAAATAAAGAATAGAATAGAATATAGAATAGACTGGGTGAAATATAGAATAGACTGGGTGAAATAAAGAATAGACTATGTGAAATACAGAATAGACTGGGTGAAATAAAGAATAGACTGGGTGAAATAAAGAATAGATTATGTGAAATATAGAATAGACTGGGTGAAATATAGAATAGACTGGGTGAAATAAAGAATAGACTGGGTGAAATATGGAATAGACTGGGTGAAATATAGAATAGACTGGGTGAAATATAGAATAGACTGGGTGAAATAAAGAATAGATTATGTGAAATATAGAATAGACTGGGTGAAATATAGAATAGACTGGGTGAAATAAAGAATAGACTATGTGAAATACAGAATAGACTGGGTGAAATAAAGAATAGACTGGGTGAAATAAAGAATAGATTATGTGAAATATAGAATAGACTGGGTGAAATATAGAATAGACTGAAATAAAGAATAGACTGGGTGAAATATTGAATAGACTGGGTGAAATATAGAATAGACTGGGTGAAATATAGAATAGACTGGGTGAAATAAAGAATAGATTATGTGAAATATAGAATAGACTGGGTGAAATATAGAATAGACTGGGTGAAATATAGAATAGACTGGGTGAAATATAGAATAGAATGTTTGAAATAAAGAATAGATTATGTGAAGTACAGAATAGACTGGGTGAAATACAGAATAGCCTTTTACATTTTAGGAGTTATTGATTGTTATTTATAAAATAGAAACAAAACTTTTTTCACTGTAAAAAAATCTCAGAATACAAACGTGTAGAATTGGAGATCTGCAAACCTGAGTATTTTGAATAGAGATTATTATTATTATTAGTATTATTATTATTATTATCATTATTATTATTATTTTGGTTAATATTTACAAATTTCTAATTTTTACTTAGTTTGGCACAAGTCTAGAGTCGAGATGATAAAAGTGGAAAAATGGAGAGGGTGAAGTGCTCTGATAATGACTGGCATGACAGTCACCTTTTATGTAAGTTCTCAGACAAGATCCAGACACTTATTTACCATATATACTTGTGTATCATGTGATTTTTGTAGACTTAATTTTGGATCTAATTTTAAGGGAGCCACATCATATAGAAGACATAAAATTAGCTTATATACTGCAGGCTGTGGCTATGCCATTGACAAAACTATATATATTTACTGTAGTCAAATTAGCTTCAAAATTAGGTCTTCAAAGGCTGCATAATACATGAGTATATATGGTATGTCATTCCCTTTCTGTGGTTCATTTGAATAATAAAAACTGCTAACTAGCAAATTATTTTTTTCTTCTTACTAAACCCATCTTCTGTCCTGATTTGGGGAATCCAATTAAATCTCAAAGGATTTTATGTATTTCATTCTTTAGGACAGATTCTATTCTATGCACAAACCATTGGTCCCTATGGTAAAAGCATATTTGCAAGGCAATAAAGCCACTAAGATACAAAAAGTTAAATGAAAACAAGTCTCCTCAATATGGTAGTACTCTTCTTAACATTCAAATGAATGGTGTCAACTCTTCCCTTAATTTCCAGTTCCCCCAATTCTATTTTCTTATGCTCTTTGGCAATGTTCCCAGTGCTCTGATATCGACTGGCACAACTGTCACTATCTACATAGTTCTTTGAAAAGATTCAGATGCTTATTTATCTCTTTCCCTTTCTCTAATTTTTTTATTTTCTTTTTGGCAAAGATTAAATGAATCTTTTAGAAATCTATTTTGCTTAGTTTATTCTTGTGAAATAATAGCAACCAGTTTTTTACTTTATTAAAATCTTGGAAAACTTTTGGAAGACAATGATGCAGCAAAGAGCATTTCAGCCTTGAACAGTAGCTATGGAGATCTTAAGTTGTCTATGTATCAAAACTCCCTCTCAGCATTGCTTCTAGAAGCTAAATTGTTGAGTAAGTGTCCATGGCTAAGTGTAATTGGCAAAAATGCTCAACAAACAGAATTGACAAATTTGTAGCAAACAATAAGAAATGAAAAAGAACAGTGTAAAGTGATACTATGTAAAATATAGATATATATGCAAAACAAAACTAGGCAAAGTGACAGTAATAAGGCAAAAGTTTTCACAAAGCAAGAAGGGTATTAACATACAAAAGGGATATAATCAAGTGATTGTTGAGTTCTGACTTCAAGACAAGAAAGAAATAAAATATGGCAGATGAGACTGAGATAGGGTTCATTTTTATTGGTTAGGAAAAAATCCCATCATGCATTTGCACAATTTGTCTATAAGTTTGAGGAGGGGGATGTTTTTGCAGTCATTTTCCTGTGATTAGAACCAGCACAAAGGAAAGGATAAACTAGTACAATTGGTATCAATACAGATGGATTTACTCAAAGGTGATGCCATAGGCCATCCACATTCAAAGCACTAATCTGTATTTATTTATGATTTAGTCTTCTCTTATCACCAACATAACCACAAGGCAGTGGAGGTTTCATTTCAGAGTTTTGCTTCTCCTAGGCTGTTACCCAAGGCAAGAGAGCCCAGTTTGTCTCACTATTTAACCCATACCTGGAGAAAACAGATACAGTGTCACCCGGATATAAGAGAGTTGTCGGGACCGGAGAAGAAGTCTCTTATATCCGGGTCTCTCTTATATCCGGGTTTCTCTTATATCCGGGTTTCTCTTATATCCGGGTCTCTCTTATATCCGGGTTTCTCTTATATCCGGGTTTCTCTTATATCCGGGTTACACTGACTGTATCTGTTTTTTGTTTTCCAAGGACATATTATGCAGATATATAAAATATAATTAGGCATGTGGAATTAATTGATCCACAGGTATTAAGTTAATTTAAGAAGGTAGGCCAAATGTAGATAAGTATGGATAGACTAATTAATATAGATAATTATTTGAATTTTTGTTGTTTTTGTAGTTGGTGGTCATGTTAGTGTTGCTGTCGATATTATGACCTTTATTAATTCTAATAGTCTTTTCATGCGCATGTGCATAACACTGAAACTGAAGATGTCACAAAGTTGTTACTGGCTTTTGTCCACAAGAGAAAAGATCAATAACAATACCCTCAGTTCAGTAGGTACGATAACCCTGACAAAGTAGTTGTGTAGACGCGCCCTGTCTGCACACCACTTGACAGCAAGCAAAAGAAAAAAAAAGAAGTAAAATGAATAAAAATAATAAAAATAAACCCTTAATTTCACCAACTCTGGTCACTGCAAACAAAACTGGATTCTGAATGCAACAAAAAAAAAAAAGAAGAGAAAAGAAAACATAACATTTAATCAAGGAAATACAAATTATTCACTGTGTTTAATAAGGTTCCCTGAATGTTTCTCTCTCTTTTGATCCTCTCCCTCCCACCATCGTACTAAATCCATTTACAGTATTTCTGTCCTGGTCATTCAGTCCAGAAGAGATTTAAACTGTTTTTCCTCTCACTATCTTTGTTGGCCAGATGAGATTTTCCCAGGATATCCATGAGGAAAAGCCTTGCTACAACTCAGCTCTTATTAAAAATTATAAATTATGTTTTTGAGTTCCTGTTAATATTGATAATTCTAAATTCTGAAAAAGTTATATGCCTATATGCTGTTATATATCAATACACTACCATTCAATTAGTTATGAACTGAGATAGATAGATACGGACAAATTCAGATAGATAGATAGATAGATAAGGAACAAAATTAGATATGAGCAAATTGAAATAGATATGAACAAACTGAGATAGATAGATATGATGAAGTTGAGATAGATAGATATGAACAAATTGAGATAGATATATAAATATGAACAGACTGAGATAGATAGATAGATAGATAGATAGATAGATAGATAGATAGATAGATAATGAACAAAATTAGATAGATATGAACAAATTGAAATAGATATGAACAAACTGAGATAGATAGATATGATGAAGTTGAAATAGATAGATATGAACAAATTGAGATAGATATATAGATATGAACAGACTGAGATAGATAGAGATAGATAGAGATAGATAGATAATGAACAAAATAAGATGAATATGATGAAATTGAAATATATAGATAGATAGATAGATAACGAACAAAATTAGATAGATATGAACAAATTGAAATAGATATGAACAAACTGAGATAGATACGATGAAGTTGAGATAGATATGAACAAATTGAGTTAGATAATGATGAAAATGAGATAGATAATGAACAAATTGAAAGATAGATATGAACAAGTTAAAATAGATAAATAAATATGAACAAATTGAGATAGAAAAAGAGATAGAACAATAGAGTGATAGATATGAATAATATGTCTATATTTCTCGAATGAGGTATTGTAATTATTTACACTATTTACATTGTCTGAACTGTTGTCCTAATCTTTGTTGCCATATTCATGTATGTTGTTGCTATCATTTTGTTTTATTTCTTTGTTTCACAGAATCTGATTTCATCAATTCTCTAAACATGCATCAGCAAGTACATGATTTTTCATTCTCAAACACAGTTGCCATCAAGGAACCGTATATACAGTGTAACCCGGATATAAGAGAGTTGTCGGGACCGGAGAAGAAGTCTCTTATATCCGGGTTTCTCTTATATCTGGGTTTGGTCTATTTTGTTTAGGTAAGTATGGGCTCTAATTTGGGACCAGAGAAAATCTCTTTTATATCCGGGTTTCTCTTATATCCGGGTCTCTTATATCCGGGTTACACTGTACTTGTGTATAAGCTGACTAGTTCAACCTTTTAGATATTGTTCTTGATTTTTAACCCCTAAAGAAACATTTAGCTGTCTATAGTTCACTGAAAATGCTTGATTTTTACACTATTCAAAGAAATTACCTGTGCATAGTGCAACCCCCTATTTTTTGTGTAAAAGATCTAATCATAATAATGCATGCTATACTCAAGTACATAGTGTATTCACTGAATGCTAAACTTTGAACTTCTTTGGTCGGTTGTTCATGATGTATACTTCCAAGGTTTAAATTAACTTCTGTTTCTTTGATAAAGCAATACACCCATACCTAATTCCCTAAAAGTGTCCATCAGTTTCCCTATACCGTTCCAAAACATAAAATGTTTAAATCATTAATACAGCTGAGGAGAACAAAAACTTGGAAAGTTGAGTTAAAAGGGAGATAACTGATAGTTAGTCATCTGGAAGAGGCATGGTATGTGGAACTAGAACAATTTACCCCACTGGATGAAATAAAGGGTTCAGTTCAAAATTCCAATCACCTGAAGAAGTTGGAGCATACAATGTCCGAAATATCATTAATACGGCAATGAAGATAAGGACAACAGTTTGGACAATGTAAATAGTGTAAGATACGAAACAAATTAAAGATAACTATTTAGATATGTTTTCTGCAATTTTCTTGTGAGCATCAGAATTCTTTTAATTTTTCCCAGTTCTTCTATTATTATTGGATTTATTTCGGTGTCACATTCTCCCAATTTATTTTTCCAAATTCTTATATCTTAGAATTTATCAATTTTTTTTGCTCAGGCATTTTTTTTTTTTATCAGACAGTATGGAAATGTTTATGAGACTGCACTTAATCCTTTCCTCTTTTATTACATCTCGTGTATTGTCTTGCTTCATATTTTCAGTATATAGAGTAAAAACAACTTTTTAATCCACTCCTTATTACTCTTTTTATTATTTTTTATTATCAAATTATTATTAAATGTTTATTACTATTATTATTATTATAATTATTAGCAGCAGCAGCAGTAGCAGTAGTAGCAATGGTAGCAGTTGTAGTAGTAAATTGTAAGTAATTTATTATTAAATAATAAATTATGCCAATCATAATTTCATAGTAATTGTTCTGGGTAACTTTCCTCATTGGTACCTAGACTTTATGAATTTTATTGTAGCACTACATTAGTATCAAGCTCTCATCAATTTAAAGTTGAATTGGCTAGATGTAACTATAAGTTCTAATAGTTTGTTTCTGACACACTTCTCGATTGTGGAACTTTTTTTTGTTTTTTTTAATAATTTCACCACAAGCAAGGCAGGAATCCCAATAGTATGCAGGGTTATACAGGGAGTGAAAGTGAGAGAAAAGGCTGAACATAGCGAGGATTGAGGAAGGGCATTCAAGAAGACAGAAGATGGTGATTAAATTTTTGAAGATTGTAGTTATCAGGGAAGCAAGTAAATAGAAGGTAGTTCCACAGGTGAGAAGTGTGAGAAAAGAAACTGTTGGAGTCTCTTCCAGCTTCTTGCTTCCCAGTCAACTTTGATCTTCAAAGATTAAATGCAATGTCAATGGTTATCTTCTGTCTTCTTAATTCTTGTTCTTTTATTGTCCACTCTCCTTAATAGTAGTTTTTCTCATATTCTCTAACACTCAGTAACCCCTTGCATCATAGTGGCTTTATTGCCTTTGATCTTCAAAAATTTAAATGCGATATCAATCGTTATCTTCTGTCTTCTTAATTCTTGTTTGTTTATTGTTCTCTCCTTAACAGTGTCTTTTTTCTCATATATTCTAACATTCAGTAACCCCTTGCATCTTAGTGGCTTTATTGTCTTGCTTGGAGTGAAATGATGAAAATATATATATTTTTTTAATTCTATTAAATCGTAATTGAATCGTGATTAATAAATTAAAAACTATATTTTTTTTTTCATTATTAAATTCTAAATAAATCAGTTTTTCTTATAATTAAATGGTATGTAAACTTTGTGCTACTATAAACATGAGATAGATTTTTTTAATGGATGGGGTTCTTCTTTTTTTTACATACTGCTTGTTGTTGCATACATGTTATAATTTTTATATATGTACTACTTATCATTAAAAAATATCTCAGAGAACAAAGCATGGTTCTCATTCCATTTTTTTCAGCTATTTCATTTCAATTGTGATGTTATTATATCATGGATAAAATAATGCCCATAATGTGAGAATCAGAAATGGGAGAATAAAGCTTTCTTCCATAGCACATCCATTAAAACAATACTATTATAAAATATTTTCTGAATTATTAAATATGGTTATTTTAAGTTGTTAAACAAATCAATTCTTTCTCTACATACTTTGACATTGCTCATGTTTACAGCTAAAAAATGGGCAAAAGAGTGAAACAATAAAAGCCTAACTTTCTTGCATTTTACAATTATTTTTTTTACCACACCTTTCAATTATCTTTCTGGAGAAAAATTGATAGAATCAAATAATTAAATGCAACAGACAGCAGTTTCATTATTCAATTTGTCTAAAAAATGAATTTGATAGGATTGGAGATCTTACTTAGCAATCAATCTATGTAATTTTCAAGAGAAATAAATTGACTTCATTTTAATACAAATTACACTATTATTCAAACCAGTTAAGACCTTGTTTTATAAGATTGGTTATCTTATTTACCATTAAAACTTCATAATTTTGAAGAGAATTAAATAGCCTTTATTTTGATACCTGTTTCATTATCGAGTCAGGTTTAAAACTCATTTTATAGGACTGCAGACATTACTTATCAATCAATCCACAGACCTTAATCATTCATCAACCCTTGTAATTTTGAAGAGTAATAAATTTATTTTATTTTCTTATACGCTTTATTATACTATTTTGTCTAAAATTTGTATTATAGGATTGGAGACTTTACTTAATCAACCCTTGTAATTTTCAAGAGAAATAAATTTACTTTTCTTCGATGCCAATTTCATTATCCTATTTAGTTTAAAACATATTTTTTTTAGTATTGAAAACCTTGTTTCTACAGGGTGTTCATAAAGTCTGGACTCATAGGAAATCTTATTAACTATTTTTTTTTTTTTGCCTCCACAGATTAAACATGGTTTTGTCAAAAGCAGAAAGAATTGGTGTCATTTTCTGGGGTATGCTAAAGGAGAAGGTGTACTCAATGAAAATGACAGATGCAACACACTTGATTGAATGCATAAAGAATGAATGTGCTAAAATTAATGACTATGTGGAGTTATTTCATCAAGTTCACATGGATCTTGCAAATTGCATCAACCTTTGCATCACAAATGATGGAAATCATATTGGAGATATTATTTGTTAATATTACAATTCAATAAAATATTGCTGAAAATTTAATTTCTTGAAAATATGCATTTTTGCCTATCTGCCCAGACTTTAGATACACCCTGTAAATCAACTGTCATAAATTATAATATTTATTTTGGTTATTTGAGAGACCCAAGAAGAATTTATTTGAAATGTCTTTAAAGAAATTCAACCAACCATACTTACCAAAAATTTCTACAACCATGCCGAGCGGCATCACAAGGATCGAGACCAGAAAGTCAGCAATTGCTAGCGACATGAGAAAATAATTTGTCATGTTCTGGAGCCGACGTTCCCAGCAGACAGCCATGCATACCAGTAAATTACCAGAAGCAGCACAGATAATGACAATAACAAGTGACAGCATCCCCCATCGGAGGTTTGTTGGCTGTCGGACAGATGAGGTTAAGTCATCTGTAAAATTGTTCATAGTGCTGGTGATATTTCCCATAAGTTGGTGTGTTGAGCTATTAATACAAGGATGCATGGTATTGGCAAAAGGTAGATATTGGTTGAAGGAGGGTTATAATTTATTCTTTTCTTTTTAGGTTTGAGGTTAAAGTTTATACTTAGTAAATTGAGCGTTTGTTCTGATGTGTGCTTTCATGCAGCGTCTCAAAGAAATAATAAAAATTAAAAGAAGAGATGATAAAATGTTTGTCTGGACAAAACCAATCTATGGCCGCTTGACTCCATCACCTTGAGAGTAGTGTGTGCAGAGGATCTGTGAAATAGTTTCCCCTGGAAATAAAATAAAAGAGAAAAATGAAGTCTGACAGTTAAACAAATTTGAATCAAATCATTTTTCATTTTTGCAAAGGATAATCATGAAATAATTAATAAACAATAAAGCAAAAGTGATGGCAGAATGAACTTGCTTAAATTAATTTGATATCCATACATATATATATATATATATATATATATATATATATATATATATATTTATATATATATAAATATATATATACTAGCAGTAGAGCCCGGCGTTGCCCAGGGATGTAACAGTAAGAGATAGATCAAGTATCGACCATCATAAAGACTGAAAAATAAAATTGACAAAGATTATTGTTTAAGGTTGACAGACACACATGTCTTAATTAGTTTTTTGGGTTTTTTTTTTTACAAATTGATCAAACCCAAACTCAAACAAAAACATTGTTTTCAATCGTTATGAGTCTATCGATTGAATAGAATTTTATTATAAACAATTGTCTTGAAATGGAATTTTTAAAGCATTCTGAATGTAAAAATAAAGAAAAAAGTGTGCAAGACAATAAGAAACACTACCTGCCAAAAAAAATTAAGTTTTGTTGAAATTGGTTGAAAAATGTAGGAAATCCAATCCCATATATAAACGAACACACACACATGCACACACACAAACAACCTGGGTTTTATAATAAGTATAACTCGATATGAGTTGTCTCCCTTTCATTCTGGCGACAGAATCGTGTTTTATCATGTTTTCAAATTGATTTCGTGCAAAAACAATTGTGTCTTTACAATTTTTGGCACTGTCAAAACCACCACAAAGGTAATTTTATACAGTCCTGTGAAGTTTTGTTGACATCGGTTGAAAAATGTAAAATCCGATCAATATATAAACATACAGACACACACACACACAATCTGCGTTTTATAATAAGTAAGATATATATATATATATATATATATATATATATATATATATATATATATATATATTTAATGAAAAGCAGATGACTTTAAGGTACCATTACAATAATTTATTTCACCAAAATCCTTTTTAAAGGACTCCGGATCATCAGGTAAAAAATCCAACAACAAAATGAAAGATAAAATGGGACTAGAAATTGATGGGTAGTGTAATTTTTGTAATTTAACGGGGGGCGGGGGAGTTGTAGTTAAAGAGACAAAGTAGAGTATAGGGAGGGGTTAATTTCATATCTCTCTTAAGCATGCTTTATATTGGGGTAGGAGGAGTGACCAATAGGAATGGGAGGGGAGTGGGGAGAAAAGAAAAGGAAAAATGGAAAAGAGAGAGGAGACAGACGACAGTAATACAGATATATCTAAATGAGTTTCCTCTTTGGAATTACCCGTTCGGTTTACCAAGTTATTCGTAAAATATATACATATATATATATATATATATATATATATATATATATATATATATATATATATTAAGACATTTTATGTTTATACATTCTTTTTTATCGATACAAATATTTAAGTAAATGCTCTGTTTATAATAAACAGTATTAAACAACATTTACCGGCCTGAATGTCCACCTACAGGAATCAAACCTGTATCCTTTACGGAACTGTCATATAGCCTGACATGCATAAACCAATTGAGCCACAGAGTATCATTCGATTAGCAAGGTTGATTTTTATTGTTCAATCTTCCATGAATCTCTCACGTACATTCATATCTGCTCAAAGTGAATCCAAATGTAAACAAATGACGTCACACATTATGAAATGGACAAAGTCCGACAATTGTTTTAAGACATTTTTATCTTTATTCATTCTTTTTATTTTATCTATAAAAAGAATGTATAAACATAAAAATGTCTTAAAATAATTGTTGGACCTTGTCCATTTCATAATATATATATATATATATATATATATATATATATGATTGAATAAATTGCAGACATTATGTCTGCTAATTTTTAAGAAAATCCGTTCATACTCACAAATAACCTTCTATCTATTGATGTTAAAGGATGAGAGAAATGTGCTATAGCTGTTTAAATTTCTTTTATTTTCATTTCCTAAGTACTTTTGATCTTTTTTGAAGATCATCTTCAGGGGTGCAAATAGTACAAAATAATAGAATGTGAAAAAACATAATGGATTATTTTTTTCATCTTCTTATGAACACTCAGCACATTTTGCATTTAAAAGCATAATAAAAAATTATGGTAATGGATAACAATGCACAACTTTGTATAAATAAACATATAGTTTTGTACTACTTGTACCCCTGAAGATGATTTTGGAACACAATCGAAAGTAGTTTAGAAATGAAAATAAAAGAAATTTAAAGAGTTATAGGACATTTCTCTCATCCTTTAATATCAATACACGGAAGGTTATATTAATATAAATATGTAATGTTGGTTATTTTACAATAAAAATATATTGTAAATTTTTTTATCTAAAAATGTATTGCTGGTATTTTTACTATAAAAATGTATTTTTATACTTTCATAGTGTTTTACTTTTGTTTGGAGGTTCACTGTTTACCCATAGCTGGGACCCTAAAAAGTGCTACCAATCCAGGGTAGACCTGTAAACAACAGTAATTGTGATTCCACAGATCCTGAAAACCTTGAATCTGATCAAAGCCTTGCTTTGCTGCTAGATGTAGTTTTTGTCATGCGCAACTCTCTCTCTCTCCCTCTCTCTCTCTCTCTCTCTATATATATATATATATATATAAATATATATATATGTATGACTCAGAGTTTGTTGTTCAGTATTTATAATGGCGATGAACTATTCATTAATATACACTTTATTACCACATTGAACACTATTTTTTTAACACCAAAAATAAAATAAAAAATTTATTTGCAAATTTATTGTCCTCATCTTTGTCACCATATTTTTGAAAAAATTCTGTCATACACATGTTAGTCCTACCAACATAACAAAATTTAATCCGATGAAGTCCTGATGGACGAAATGCATCACAAATAAACATTTTCATTTTGTCATACAATTTCCCTATATATATATATATATATATATATATATATATATATATATATATATATATATATATATATATATATATATATATATATATATATATATATATATATATGATAAAAATGTAGATGCTCTAAAAGTTATGCTTGTATTTTAACATGAGAGAGCACAAAATCAATTTTCATAAGAGAAATGGAGAGGGTGGTAGGAAAGTGAGAGAGAAAAGTAGAACCAAGAACACGCATGAGTAGAGAAAAAGATTTTGAAGATTATAGTTATCAGGTAAGCAAGGAAATGAAAAGAATTTCCACAGGCAAGAAGTGCAAGAAAAGAAACTCTTGGAGTAGAAGTGATGGTTACATTTAATTATTTCAACATTAAAAGGGTGGAACTTAAATGAAAATCTAGTAACACTCTTAAATTCATGTAGTGGGAGCACCAGGGAAAAAAGTTTGTCAGAGCAGTAGCCATGAAAATATTTGTAGAAAAGACAGAGGGAAGCAACGTCAAATCGGTGAGAAAGTGACTGAAGTTGAGATGCCAAGTCCATTTATATATATATTTTTGTCATCTATTGATTCCTTATTTTATTGTTTTTTAAAACATATAATTAAAAACCAGTTAGCCTATTTATTGTTGGTGTGGCTTTGATTCACCTTGTTATGGTGATTTATTCTATTATCCATGTTCCTCCCTGTTTCTTGTTTTTCATATTGCTTTATATTCTCATAAACAATTTTGATATGTGTGCTTTATAGCATTAATCAAGTTTTGTACACCCCAGACTGTTTTGCAGGAGAGAAAAAAGAGACAGCTTCTTAGCTGAGCTAGTTAATAACCATAGTATTTTTTTCATTTTGTAATTCTCTCTACTTGGAAAATTGGCGCTACACAATCTTCAATTTTAATTCTTATTCCCTATTGAACTTAGTAAATATGAAAATTAAAAAGAAGAGAAAGAATTAGGAGAAATTGTGAAGGAGAGTGAGGTAGAGAGAGAGAGAGAGAGAGTGAGAATAGAGAGAGAGAGAGAGAGAGAGTGAGAATAGAGAGAGAGAGAGAGAGAGAGAGAGATGAATATATAGTGATATAGAAAAAGAGGGTAAAAGAAATTTTCTGACTGTGATAAATTACATATTAAAGAGAATTCATAGAAAAAAAGGAGAGGTAATAAAAATATATTATCACAAAATAGTAATGCCAAAATATAATAATGATGACTAAAAATTGCTAGTTTATCACTCCTCATCACAGCAAAAAACAAGGAAAAAATATACACAGTGACTAAAAAAATATACAAATTTTATATGCAAGAAAATATAACATTAAATGCTAATTACCTTTAAGCCCACCAACTATTCCTGCTTAGAGAGAGATGGCTGGTGGGACTTAATGTATACTAATTGCAATACTTTCAAGTGAAACTCAGCATTAGCCCTAGAGACATGTCTGGTCTATAAAACTGCTGGCTTTTCATTAAATGTTCTGCTATTGCTGAACCTGTTTCATTTATGCACCTATATAAATTGCCTACTTTTCCCTTGGGAATATTGGTTAGTACATTTTGGTAGCCTACATAGTTAATAAATTACTAAACTGATGTGATATGTTGGTAGAATATACTTGCAGATCAGTCTCAACATATGTCAGGCACCAAAAACAACATTGATTGGCAGAAGACATGACAGGTTTTTTTGGGTTTTTTTTTTCTACAGACAG